TGACTGGCAAGTATATGGTAGCAGGCCCAGCATGTGCTCTTTACACACTGACCAAATTCCCATTGGGGCCAGACATGCATATTACATTTTGCCAACAATGTCTAGCTGCTTCCCAGACACTAGTTTCTCAAGGTTAGCACAGCTGAGATAAGGAAGTAGTTCTGGTAAATGTAAGGGGCCCTTAAATCCCAGGGCTCCCCATGCAGCTTGAAGTATAAGTCCTTTATTAAATCTATCCTGTTTAACTCCTTATGAAACTTGAGTTTCCCTCTCTGCCAGTATCTGGCCCTCTCTTGCTCACCTTTTAGTCACAATAGGAAAACTGACTTGCCAGCAGTATATGGATTTTTTTTTAAGTGTGCATTTTCCAGTTTGCTTTTCTCTAGAAAATATCTGAAGATGAGGTGACATTATCCAATGAAAGGAAAGCAAGCTTTGTTCATAGTGTGAAGGCTTTAGACTGGAAAGATCAGATGATGCTTGTTACTGCAGTAATTCTACAGAAGGTTGGAAAGCCATTTCCTTAGGGTCTTGTTCTTTGATGCCCTGGGTCTTGAGTAAATCTCTACAGCTACTGAAAGCGACAGTGGAATGCAGCCTTTACTAGTATAAACACCCATCTAAAGGGCAGGGCAGTGAGCAATCAGATCTTCTAGGTAGCTCCAGGACAGTGCTTCTAGTTGGGAGATGAAATTAGACTCTAGTGTGAAATCTGCTGGATACATAGAGATCTTTCTTTTGGCCTTACCTGGTAGTTTTTCAGTGAGCAACAAAAGTATGCTGCTTTGCAAAAGGAGGAGAGTGGGGAGCCAAGGGTGACAGCAAGGCAGGCAGGGACAATTTCACAGACAAGGGGCACAGTCCCACAATGAAAAAACAAGAAGAGACAAGCAAGACTGGTTATGGTAACCAGGGTCAGCCAGTCCAGTGATTGCCAGACAAGTCTTTAGTGATGAGGCAGGTCAAATCAAGACAAGTAGTCAGATCAGCAAGGCAAAAGCAGGATTTTCAAGTTGCAAGGCCAGTCACAGCATACCTACCACATAGCTCAGGCAAGACGGTTAAGACATGACCTGAGCAACCAAGATGCTTCTACAGAGAAAGAATTATACTACTTCTTCTCATAAGCATCAACAACAGATAAAATCTTAAGCAGATAGCAACATGTCTTTAGAAATGTCTCTTGATTTTCATCATGTTTGTAGCTGTACTGTTGCCAGAACTATTGCTGATTAATTATCAAAAAGAGTGCTTTTTTCCACTAACCTGGACTAATCAGTTATTAGCTTCTTTAATGAAGCATTAAATGTTGATTTTAATGAGGAAACTCCAGATTTTATGTAGGATTTCATACCCTTTCCTGTACTGACTCAGAATCTTTTTCTGAAATGTATGAGACACAGTTTCCTTGATTTTAGGAGGACTAAGTCCTTTGGTTCTACTCTCAAGTTCCTAGCATGCTGTTAGCTCTCAATAGCTCAAATGTAAACTCTTCATGCTCTGTGTTTGCTGGTCTTATGGTCATCTTCTCCCCCTCAGATTTTGCCCTTAGAAGTTACAGCATCAATATTATGCATGTCTATTCTAATGGCACCTGTCAACAAGTGACATCACCATCACTCTATCCCAGATTGCTTCCGATGAAGATATACTTCAAGCCTTCAATATTATTTGTAAATAAAATTGTCTCAGTGACCAAAATGACTAAATATTTGATTTCCTGCTTAAAATAGGGCCAAGTTAGAATGGGTTGTTCAGGGCCTTGAAGCAGAGTTTTGAACATCTACAAGAATGTTCTCTGTGTTGCAATATTTGACCACAACCATGATGAAAAGGGTTTCCTTATGTCTAATAAGAACTTCCTATGTTGAAGCTTGTGTTTGTTGCTCTCATGTTATCACTGTGCACCTCCAAGAAGAGTCTGACTGTCTTCTCTATGTGCTCCCATCAGGTAGGTAAAAACAGCAATAAGAATTCCCCTTAGCCTTCTCTTCTTAAGGTTGAACAAACCTAGTTCTCTCAGCATCTCCTTGTACATCATGTGCTCCATCCTGTAGCCCTCTGCTGCACTTGCGCCAGTATGACTTGTTCTAAATTCTTGCAGTCCAGTATATATACTACACACCAGTGTATATACTATATATATATAGTTGTTGCAGTTTGAAGGGGGGGGGCAAATTTGGCAAGAGCTGAATCCCCTAGCATTCCAGCCGATCCTCAGAAGCTGGAGGGACTAGGGGCGACTGGACTCATCTCTTAATAGGGGTACCAAATACTGTGGTAGCTATAGGCCCGACTCTGGTTGCACTGGTTTCACGAACAGTCTGCTGACTATAAGTCCGACTGCCTTCAAAACAATTACTCAAGTTCATGAATAGTATTGTTACGAGAAGCCCCAGACAAGAATGTACTCAAGGACATAATTTTTGCTGCTATTGCTGGTACATCATGAGAGAGTACGGACAAAACAGCAAACATTGGTTGAAGACGAAGATAGGTACCACCGTATCTTCAATAAACCATCTGAAATTGGGTAATGGGGCCAAAACAGGGCCCCACCCGAAGGGTGCCTGCCGTTAGACAAAGCAAAAGCTCCTCAAGGCAGGGCTTCAAGGTAGCTGCAGCAAAAGGCTTAAGACCAATACTGCTGAATAACTGTGGTGTTGAAACTCGGAATGGTTTCGGGTATTCTCATCTGGATTTTGTATTCAGTGATTGGTTGATTGTGGCATCTTGAAATTCAGAATGGCATCAGGTATTCCCGTATCAGGTGTTCTCATCTGAACTTTGTATTCGGTAATTGCTATAAAAAAGGAAGGGGGGAGGGTAGACCCACAATGCGTCAGCATAATTTCATTTCAGCATAATTTCATTTTCCCTGAAAGGAGGGATCTTAAAAAGATCTCCTCTGGGATATATTCTAAAACATTGGGAAAAGGTAGGGTGAGACCCCTAACTTGGAAACAACTTGTGGAGTATTGTAATCATTATATACACTCTGGAAGATCGAGAAAAGAGGCCAAAGAATGGAACTTTAAGATATAATACAATTTTGTAACACGTTGTTTTGCAGGAGGCAGGATAAGTGGATAAGTGGGATGAAATCCCTTATATAGATTTTTTTTCTCTGAGATGATCATGAAAAAAGAAAGAAATATAAATTTTTGATATCTAATTTGAAGATGTTTGTTAGAAGGAAATGTGATTTTTGCTATCTGATTTGAATGTGTTAACAATGATGGAGGGCAAAAAGGTGATCCACATCCATAAGTGGATGATGACGAAGAGGATGTGCAATTATTAGTTAGGAGAAAGAGGGGAATTGATGATAAAGGTAGTGATGTATCGAGTCCAATTGCAGGCAGGACTAGAGCACAACAGAACACTGTGATTCAGGCTCTACTGCGTCAGGCAGTGGGAGCAGAGGGAATGCCTGTATATGTAAAAGTTCCTTTTTCAAATGCAGATTTAATGAAATGGAAGAAGTCAGCTACTTACAAGTGCTTCTGAATACTTTACTTGCACCCAAGGAAAATCAAATGCTATTGGATAAAGCTCAAGAGGAAAATGAGAGATAAAATACTGGGGACAGACTGGGACATTTTAGGCTGGTCCAAGAAGCAGATTGAGATCAAATACAGGGGTGCGTAGGTTAATGATTAAACAGTATCCACAATTAATATTACATGGAATAAAGCATGGAATGCCTAGACCTGTTGCAAAACTATATCAAGTTGTACAGGGTAAGGCTGAGGATCTCTCTGCTTTTTATGAGCAGTTTTGTGAGACTGCTCAAAAATGAACAGACTTGGATCCTGAAGATGAAACTAACAAGATAATTTTTACTACATTATTTCTGGGACAATCAGCACCAGATAGAAGGAAATACTTCAGAAAGTGGATGGTATGCTTGGAATGTCAATATCTCCATTAATAGGGATTGAATATAAGGTATATAATAATAGAGAAGTAGAGAACAAGCATAACACTGCAATCTTGGCAGCTGCATTTGCTCAGGTGCAAACATCCTCTCGAGGAAGAAGTTTTCTGAGGGAATGAGGATGGGGGTGAAAAAACAGAACAGGAGGCAATCCAGGGAATAGAATTTCACTAGAGAGACACCGATCTACAGTTTGGAGGGAGAAGGGACACTGGAAAAATGAGTGCCTAAAGTGGTAATCAAAGAATTGGGAATCCTCATCTGCATCTGTACAGGAAGCAGATTTGCTTATGATTGGTACAGAGAATTCGGATGGACGGGGACCAGGGGCTGAGAAATTGGATTTCCCAACTGAACCCCTGGTTTCAGTCAAGTTGGAGGATGAAGTAATTAAATTTTTAGTAGATACTGAAGCAGCATATTTGGTATTAAATAGTTGTAAAGGACCAGTGAGTAAACTCTCTATGTCAGTAATTGGTGTCCAAGGAAGGTGAGAGGTCAAGACCTTTTTTTTAACCAATAAAATGTGAAATTGGGAGTGAGATATTCACATGTGAATTTTTATATATGCCAGAATGCCTCCTACTGCCGATGGGACTTGATAAATAAATTTGGAGCACAAATAACTTTTGATCAAAACAAGGTTCAAGTACATATACTGCAAAACAATGCTTGGGAAGCACAGATATATATGTTGCAGGAATTATCAGAGATGAAAGACACTGAAGATAAGGAAAATCAAGTTGAAGCTACCTCCTTGGACAGCATGAGTACAGTGAACCCTTTAGTCTGGGCAAATGCAAAACATGGAAAAGGAGAATCGGCAGAACCAGTAAGAGTGGAATTAAAGCCAGGGGCAAAGTCGGTAAGATGAAGACAATATCCTATAAAGTCGGAAGCCCTCATTGGACTAGAACCTGTAATTAATGAATTTTAGAGCATGGACTGTCGAGGGTCACTCGAATGCTGAGGCTCACTCCACAAATCAGAGTGAGCAGCACTTTAATATGAAGGTGGTTTAACTCGTGGTGAGTGCCAAAGCCTTCTCCACAAGGGACTGTGAGAAGTACAAGTCAGTCCTGGCAGAGACAGTAAGTGACCCGTGTGCCCGCTTGGGCTCTGCGGGGCTGCCTCCCTCCTGATGCAGTGCTCAAACTCTCCATGTTCTCGCCCTCTTCCTAGGAGGGGATTTTGCAAAGGCTACAGAGGAGCGTGGAAGAGGAAGAGAGTAAATGGAAGATAAAAGTCGAAGAGTCGCAAAAGGAACTGAAGCAGGTATTGCTGAAGAAGTGTCTTTTGGGATGGCCAGGTGACCTCTGCTTGAGGTCAGAGGGTGTTTGAGCAGATGAAAAAGTGAAGTCAATCAGCAATGGGTAAAATAGCCATTTTTGTGACAGTTGGACTTTGTGCTGAGATGCTTGGTTTCATGCTGAGCAGTGTTTTTTTTCTCTTTTTTTGAGAGACATCTTTCTATTAAAAAAAAAAAAACCCTAAGAAGTGAGGGAATGGTTATGTTTGGATTTGTGGGTATGTTCAGCTGCCCTCTTTGGAGAAGTGAGAACAAGCAGCACGGGTGTGAGGTCTTTAACTGGTCTGTTAAGTCCTTGGCACACCCTTCTGCAGGTGATGCAGGAAGCAGGCAAATAGCGCATGATAATAATAATAATGCCAGGTGGGATAGGAGGTCCAAGAGGCAGGAAAATAGGTGTGATTCACTAATGTGCCCAGGAGTACAAATGTTTCTGATCCTGGCAACTCAAACTGTGTTTGGTAGTCAGCCCTTTTTAAAAAGTCAATTTGTGAAGAGAGTGAAGAGATAAAGGCTGTTTTGCAGAAAGGTTTAAATATTCTATAATCATAAGCAGTTTTTTGAAGATGCTAAACTAGCACTTAAAATCCATTATGGTCAACTAATTACACTTGAAATTGCCCGCAGAGCTTTTCTTTTTGGGAAGGCTCTGTTGTTAGCAAAAGTGGCAGGAGAAAAGCCTTTTATGTTTCTTTCCCAGTCTGGCATTAAAGTAGGTCAAAGTGATTTGTTTGTTTGTTTTGAAAGAAATTTCTTAACTAATTCTGCTTTGCAAATTTGGGTGCCAGGGTATGAGCCTGAAACAAACATATAGGTGAATTAAAAACCTTTTGTTTTGAGGAGCTTTATAACAAGCTGTCAGCTCTTGAGCTATAGATGTGCTACCATCTGCTACGCTTATGCAGTCTCTAATGTGGCTAAATATGCTGGGTTTAGCTATGCATAGCTTGTGAATGCAGACTATCTTCACTGTAAAGTGACTATAAAGGATATTTCCCTTGCTGCAAATAACAGACCAGTAGCTTAGTCCTTGTGTGCCAAATAGTTGTCATCTAGCTCCCAATAAATGTTCAAGAACTCTATATTGGTGGAAAGGCAGAAGAGATGTGAGCATGTTATAATGAAGACTTAATATATGGAGTTACTTGAAGGTCTTGTTTTATTTGCAGGCACTGTGATTTTGTTGTGCTTAATGTTTTTAAGGCATAGAAATAAGTCTATGTGCATTTGGAGAGTTTGACTTAGACCAATCTCATTAAATGATGTATTTTTCTTCCTTAAACTGCAGTTACGCTCTTCGGTCATTCCTTTGGAGCATGAGATGGAGAGGTTAAAGGAAGAAATCAAAGAAGTTGAAACTGTAAGTACAGATGTTTCTTTCCTTTGAAACTCAGAACACAAATTTAAAACATGTTTTACAATTTGTACATATTGGGACCGCTGTCTTGCATGTACCACAGTTTGGGTTGTAGTTTAGTTGAAACTTTGGTTGGTGTGTTTCAAGAAGCAGGTGGATAAAGCTGAGCCCTAGGAAGTTTCTTTTTCAGTTTATTTATTTATTTATTTATTAACATTTCACTACTTGTCCACTGGGGGCTGAGGCTCTGCAAAGTGAGGCCTTTTGTTTGGGAGGCCAAGCAGTTTACTTTGATGTATCTGCTTTTTGATGATCTTGGACTTGATTCTTTTATGTTCAAAAATCATGTTACTTTTGAAGTGTAACAGTTTAAATCTGTGCGTTGTGCGATTGCCAGGTTTGAAATGCTCTCTAAATGTCATGGAGTATTTGATGCAAACTTGTAGCTAATAATAAATTAAGATATGATATTGTAAGGTAAAGACTTTGAAAATGTCTTTTTAACTCTGTTTTTCTGTTTCTAGCTTAAAAAAGAGAGAGAACATTTGGAAAGTGAACTAGAAAAGGCAGAAATAGAACGATCTACTTATGTTTCAGAAGTCAGAGAGGTAAACATAATTGACCAAACTGTCCTTTTTCTTTTGGTTACCAGCCAACTGGCAAACTAATCAGTGCTTAGCCCCTATGGCTGAGGGGTTTGAATGCCTGTGACCTTAGGGTAGGCTGACACGCTAATAACAGAGCAGAAAAAAGGTGGGCATCCTAAGGAGACAAATCCTAAAACTCTAAACTTCATTTCAGCTCAAAGATCTGTTGACTGAATTGCAGAAAAAACTTGATGATTCATATTCTGAAGCAGTAAGACAGAATGAAGAGTTAAATTTGGTAAGAAGCTTGTTCTCCGCTGGGCACACACCAGGCTCCCAGCATACTTACAAAGCGGAGACTTATTTCAAATCCTGTCTGTTCTGCTAACCTCTTCAGCTTGATATTTTTGTCCATTGCAATCATTTATGTAGTCTGACTTTTACAATTTGTCTCTCTCTGCTCCTAACAATAGCATGTCTGGTCCTTGAGGTTTTTTTTCCCAAAGTCTTTAGGACTTTCATCCCTGAAACTTCTTCAAAACCAATGTTTTCTACAGTGTAGACAAGTGTAGCTGCAAATATAATGTCCTTGGGGCAATAGAAGTTGTGCTCTCATCAGCTCAATTTGAGGATTATCCTCTGGGCTCTCAAAGCTTTTGAGGATACAACTTTGATGTCCGTGTAAGCCTGGCAGCAGAGAGCCTCTTCTGTGCTGCTTTGTACATACAGAAATCAGCCAAAACAACATTAGGTTTGTTCCGAGCGTGCAGCCACTGAGCAGTCGGCATCCTGAGGTGGCAGAACGGCTGCTCTGGGTTGTGGCATGCACCACACAGGGTGTGTTTTGGCTGGTTATGCTCTTTAGCATTTAAAGTTCCTAAAGCAAGCTTCTCGAGAAGCAGCTGAATTATGTGTTGCCAGATCTACAGCCCCAAAGATGCATGATTTTGCAGTCCGAGTCCTTTCAATTCTCATGTTTCCAGAATAATATGGGTTTTTTTGAGGCTGTAGGAGCAATCTGGTCTTTCCTCTACTTGTGTGAGTCAAGCTTGCTTCATGGTTTTGAACCAGAATGAGGGAAGGCTTTTTTTTTTTTTTTTTTTTTTTTTTTTTTTTTTTTTTTTTTTTTCCACCCTTTGTTGTTTGGTTGTTGACAACCTGTCACTGCTGGCCGAACTACTGGGCTTGCCAGGGAACCACCACTAATGTAACTGCATTAAAATAGTTGATTTAAACTTGGGTCAATTGTGAGTATTTTTCAGTGTGCCTGGCAAGCCTAGTATAGCATTGATTAGCGTCCTGCCTCAGCAACGGAAGCCTCTTGTTTTGAAAGCAAGGGAAATGGGAATTGAACGCGTGTCTTGGAGTTAATCAGCAAGTGCCAACCTCTCGAATGCAAGAGGCAATGCTCTATTATGTCTCCAACAACAAAAGCCTGAAAAGCTGAGCTCCCCAGCAGGGCAGCTTGACTCCACAGTCCAACGGTGCTGTGCTGGTAGGAGCAGGAGCATGCAGGATGCTTGGGAATGCTGGCAAGTTTACAGACTGCTTTTGTAATAGGCAGGAGGCTGAGGAAGGGAAGTGATGGCGTTTCAGAATTTCCCTCTGACTTTTAAGTTGAGTGGGGAGAGCAGACAGAGCTGCAGAGGAGCCCGCCAGTGCTTCCGAGCTGTAGAAAAACAGCATGCACCAGCCCAGGTGCTGCAACGAGGGAAACCTTCCAAGTCCAAGGCAAATATAATGCAGGGGGTGGAATTAGTGGGAAATCAGCACTCTGAGTAGCTTATTGTTCATTTCTTTAATCCCCTGCTGGTTCCCAAGCAGCTTGAAAGGAATAGTGAACATCAGCGAGGCACTCTTCAGAGTCACAAATCCAACAAAATTGGTACTCAAGCTTCTTGTTAGCATTCTTATTTGGGGCTTGAGTTTTAAGTGCTGTGGCTGGTTCTGTGTGCTATGTTGAAGAGCCATCAAAATATTCTTAAAAAATGTTTATATCCTTTCTTTGGAAGGCTCTATTTTAAGGGCAGCCAGTAGAAAAGATTCACCCCTCTTGACTGAAATAGTTTCACTTTTTAGATTGAGTCTAAGCACAATCGACAATTTAATATATCCCTGTCAGTGATTCATTCCTTGATGTGACATTAACAGACTGGTTAAGTCAACGTTGTAATAAATGGCACTTTATTAAGATGACAAGTAGAATTTTTAGTTTATTCAGCAGTAAAGTGACTATTTGGCCTGAATTAGGAAGATGACGGTTTACATTTTTTCCATATTTGTTGTGAATTAAGCTGAAGTCTGAATTGACTTTTGATAGGAATGCTAGAGAGGCTTAAGAATATTCAGAATTGCTTATATTCTTTTTGGCAATACAGTTTAAAAGTTGAAAGCCCTTGTAATCAAGTTGATGCTAACCCTGTGTTTTTTTCTGTAGTTTCCATTCTTTACATTTACTTTTACAGATGGGGTCTGTCTCCTCCTTGACTGTCCTTGTAAACCTCATTATACCTGTTGACTAATCCAGTGTGTGTAATTGTTAATAATTGTAGTCCCTCTGCAGTCAGTGTGTGCTGGGTTAATCCCCAAGGGAGATGGATTAAAGCGGGCAGGGGGGGAACTCATCTTCTTTTTTTACTGTTTTACAGCTGAAAACACAGTTAAATGAAACACTATCAAAACTCAAAATTGATCAAAATGAGAGGCAGAAGGTTGCTGGTGACTTGCCCAAGGTAAACACAGTCTTTTAACAGTCACAGATTTAAACATAGTAGAAGCTGTCATGATTTAGTGGTCCTGGTTTAGCAGTGCTAGAGAATGAGGTTCCCTGTGGGGTTTTTGCTCCACTTACTGGTGCCCCAGGTGACTGGGGCTGTGGATGGAAGAGCTGATGCGAGATACTTGTCTACCCCAAATAATAAAATGCCTCAACCAGCTCTGTTTAATTATCCTTCTTGAAAGCATCTCACGTTCACGATAATCTTGTGCCAATGAGAATAAGTGATGATTTAGGGCTGGCTGAGCATTCCTTAAATAAAGCAAGAAACAAAAATGAATGCCTGGATCTCCATGTCACTGCATACTGGAATGTTTAAATCCATTCTCAAGCAGTGGTTGCAGGTTGGGTTACAAGGTGGCCAGCCTGCCTACAAGGGATTACAAATTGGCTCTAACCTCAGGCAGGTCTTTACAGTTAGCTCTACTCAGCCGTGATGAGGCAGGCGAGTTACCTCTGCTGTTCCTCAGTGGCTGCTTAGAGGGATATCTTCAAGTTGGAGAGATCTCAGAGAATACCTATCACGGGAGGACTGATAAACATAGACAAGAATCTGCAGAGTTGCTGTGGCCTGACTCCAAATCATTTAACGCCTCCTTGTTCCGTCAGCAATGCTGTTTTCTTGGCCATGAGCACAGCGTATAAGTGTTGGAAGCAACGTGTGAAGCATGGGTCTGGTTGGGTGGTTTTAGTAAGACAGGTTGCTAGTGCTTTGGTTTTAACAGCAACTTTTAGATGCCTTCTAGAGCTGGTCTCTCTTGGGTTACTCCAGGACCTGTCGGTGCTGGATAAATGGACTTGCTGACTAGATTGGTTCTGGCCTTGGTGGCATTTTGCCTGCCTTGAAAGGTGATCCCTGAGGCTGAACTGTTTTCATCCAAAGCAGAAGCTGAAACAGCAAGTCAGCAATGTAGCTCAAGAAGGAAAGGTGGCAGAAAGAGGGAGGTGAGGAGGAGGTCAGGTTGGGTTCCATCCCTGCAGGATGGGAAGGAGTGGATGCTGAGGGAGAGCTATGGCTGGGATAGGAGGCAGCCCTTGTCCAGGGACAGGGATGAATGGTCACAGAAGCACTGGGAAAGGGTGGAAAGATGAAAGGAGCCTTGTTGAGATAAGGTGTTTGCAGCACTTTGCTCATATGTCAACTTCCAACTGCTCTGAAGTGAGCTGTGCTGCTATCCCTGGTTTGTGCAGATCTGAATAAATGCAGATTTGCAATCAGGATTTGGGAGACCTCCCTGTGCTACACTCTCATATGGAGAAAAAAAAAGCTGTGCAGTTTTTACCTGATAACTTGCTGTGAGGCTATTAAAGCATCCCCCTAGAATAGCTTTCCAGTGTAGGCAGGCTGACATGCAACATGCAGATTGTAAGTAGACACATCAATCTCAGGGAAAAATGCGTTGGTCCCCTGGGTGAGTCTGGCATAAAACAGATTTCCTCCCAGAACAATGATTTCTTCTGCCTCTAGTGCTTGTGGAGAGAGAGGAATTTGCCTTTTCAGCCTTTGCTAGTTGTTGTCTTCTCTGTGTTCCCCCTACAGGCCCAGGAGTCCTTGGCATCTCTTGAGAGAGAAATTGGAAAGGCTGCTGGGGATGCCAATGTTATTGAGAACAGCGATGTTTGCACGGAGTCGGTGAGTGTTTCCTTGGAGTCCATCCCTGGGGGCATGCAAATCTCATGTGAGTTATGTATTTGAGGAAGCAAGCTGCAGCAAAGGAACAGGACGTGTGCTGCTGACAGTAAATTAAAGCCTGATGAAGTTTCCTAGTTCACAACTCGTCAGTGTGGTGTTTTGGAGCTGTATCCTGGGGACGCAGAGGTTTTGCTAAGTGTTGGGAGTTCTGCTGTCATCTGGATCATAAGCTCTGTCCTGTGTCTCATGTTTGCAAAAAGGGAAGGGATTTACTGCATGAGACCTGGGCTTCCAAAGTCAGGGAGCTCTTGGCTGTTGTGCTGTGCTCTAACCATGCCAAGAGCTGGAAATGCAGCTGGGCCTTGGGGACCACTCGTGTTCCATCCCTGAGCTGGTTTCCTGCAGAGGATGTTCGATTTGCTGAGCCCTGCCTTGTGCTGCCAGCAGGAGAGGAGGTGGCTGGTGACGGTGAGTGGCACTGGGTGCTCCCTGTCCCCACGTGCAGCAGGTGGAGAGGAAGAGTCTGAAAGCCCAAGCCAGCCTGCTTGCCCTCTGCTATGCCCTTGCCATGACCTGTTTTGGCGTGATGGACGGGGACTGACCAGGGAGCAGCCAAGAGAGCTCAGGGAGGCTTTGGGATGTCTCCCACCTTGCCCAAACCTGGGGCAGGGCTGATAGAACAGGCTGAGCAGGGAGAGAGCCCTCACCCTGTGCATCCACCCTCCTCTTGGAGCTCTGCATCTCATCAGCAGCACAGGCTGGTCCTAACTGCTGCTCTGCCAGCAGCAGGAGCGCAGGGGCTGCCTGCCGGGCTGCACAGCAGCCACTTAAGGGATTGGAGCATCCATGGCATGAGGAGAGTCTGAGCAAGCGGGGCCTGTTCAGCCTGGAGAGGAGAAGACTGAGAGGGATCTGATCAACATGTGCAAGTACCTGAGGGGGGAATGTAGGGAGGATGTGGCCAAACTCTTCCCAGTGGTGGCCAGTGACACGACAAGGGGTAACAGGGACAAGTTGAAACGCAGGAGGTTCCATCTCCATGTGAGGAAGAGCTTCTTTGCTGTGAGGGTGCCAGAGCCCTGGCACAGGCTGCCCAGAGAGGCTGTGGAGGCTCCTTCTCTGGAGATCTTCCAACCCGCCTGGATGCCACCCTGTGCCTTGGCTGTCCCTGCAGGGGCTTGGACTGCATGATCCCTAGAGGTCCTTTCCAACCTGAACCCATTCTGTGCTTATCAAAACTGTTCCTGTAGCACCATCTGTGGTTCCTGCTGGCCAGCAGCACCTGGTGAGCACTCCCAAACCAGGTGTCCCTAGATGTGCCCTGCCGTGGCTCAAGGACATTGTTCTGGTTTAACCTCTTCAGCCCAAGCCAGCTCATACAGCACCCCCAGGGTACATGTTGCTCGGTTCTAGGTGCACGGGCACATTGGAAGCCCAAGCAGGTTTTCTCCAGAATGTCAGTTCCTCTTTTCTCAAGAGGAACAAGGAAAAATACAGTGCCAATAAACCTGTAATTAAATCTCCATTAGTAGAAAATGTTAATTGTCTGCTCACTGCTTTAAATAGGTAGCCATTGCCAGAGATAAAATTAGACTGTCTCTGTCGTCTTCCCCTTTTTGCTTCCTATTTTTTTTTTTTTTGGTTTTAAGAGCTGTCTCCCCAGAAGCCTAAAAACCTGGCTTAAAATAGCTCTCAGACTAAAAAAGAAAGTCTTCCAGCCACTTTTACCTAGCAACAGTCTCTTCCCTTTTTAAAGGGATGTGAAGATGCTTGCTTGGAGATGAGCATATTTGTTCCTTTTGAGTACGAGAAGCAACCCACAAAACTGTGGAATGATGTCTGCAACACAGTCTGGATATTTTCTTTAGACTGCTTCTCTCTCTATTTAAAAATGGATCGTTTGGGTTTTCTAATCAGCTTCCTTGTCACTTATGGAACTAGATGATGCTGAAGGTGCCTTTTAGTGCACTTTAAGGAAGTCATTTCTATTCAGCAGTTTTCCTAGGCACTAAACCTATTTTGAGGCTGATATGCAGTCTAATATTTTTGGTTTTTTTTTTCCCCTGAATCCCTAAGTAAAACACTCCATTGCTGGAAACAGTGCCCTACATCACGTAAAGGCTGCTGGAAATGAACGTGTCCATTCAGTGGGAGGGAGGACCAGATTGCACGTGTCCCTGCAGCTCTAGTTGTCCATGGGGATTTTTAGGGAGCATCCCTAACCCTCCAGAAACGTAACCACAGAGAGGGTCCACGTGCCTTCACCAGCCCCGATGTGTGGGCTGCTGGGGCTTGGCACAGCAGCATTTCCCTCTCCTTGTGTTCCTGCTCTTGCTCCGTGCCCTGGACTCTGCCTGTCCCCAAAACGTGCCCTTCCAAGTGGGGTGACACGTGTGTCTAGTTCATGAGTGATTGCTGGGTGATATTAGCCAAGCCATAAAATGCAGCACAGGAAGATGAAAAAGAGAAGAGGGCTCTTCTGGGGCAGAAGGGCTGAGAGGGAACTGAAAGGCTCCTTCTGCTTGTGATGGTTTCTGTGCTAATGCACGTGCCCGCTTGTCCCTGGCAATAAACCTACTTCTGGACAAGTTTCCAGTGATGATTTACAGTAGAAAAGACGTTTACTAGTTGCTCTGAGGTGAGAGCTGTGCTGAAGTGAGAGCTTTGCCCTCTTGCCCAAGCCCAGACTAGTTCCTGTACGGTGCAGGTGACTGAGTTTCATTTACTGCCCTCCCTACCTTACAGGAAGGTCCAATTCTGTTGGAAAATGTAATGTTGGAACTGTAAAAGCCCCTTTCATTTGGATGGGGTTGACTGTTCGGTGGTCGTGTATCATGTCCACCAAGCTCAACTTGCTTATTTTTTTAGCAGAGGGATGTTGCAAGGGAGGCTCGCTTAGGTCTAACTGTGTGTCTGCCCTTGGAGCTGAATAAGGAACAGACCTGTGGAACAGGCCTCTTGGATGTGGAATCCCTTGTATGTCTGTCAAGGAAGTAATCAATAAAAGTAATAAAACCAAGATGATGTCACTTGGCTCGGCAGGACAGACCTTGGGAGAGCAGGGCAGGGAGGAGTCCACCTGGGGTTGTAACACTTCCCTATCCATACAGAACTGTTGAACTCCTGAAAAAAACTACTTGGTTTCTATGGTTTATTTATTTTTTAAAAATATGAAACCACCTTCTGAGGCCAGATGAGCTGCAGTTATGAGCACAAGTCCTGATAATCCGAACCCTGGGGCATGGGGGCTGGTGATGCCCTTGCTGGCGTGCAGCACGTGCGGGTGATTCCTCAGTGCAGGAATTTGCTGGGTGACTTTGAGCGGCGTTCTCTGTAAATGTGGCTGTAACCCTCTGATTTACAAGGATTGCTCCCATCTGTGCAAGACGCTGTAGTTTTTATATGGAGAATCTAATTCTAGACTTTCTTGATGATTAGACTGTAAATGAGTTTTTAATGACTTTTTTTTTTCCTCCTTCCAGGAATTGACTGATAAAAGACTAAATGTGGCAGTGAATCTTAACCAGGATGTAGGTCATCTCAAGAAGCTGCTTGTGTCAGTAAGCCAAATGCTGTCCAAGGGACGAGAGCACTACCAGCTAGTAGGTAGGAACAGCTCTGAGTGGGCTTGGTAGGAGGGATGGGAAGACCCTGGTCAGATTTAACACACCTGGTGTCACAATCTGCAACTTTCTAAATGGAATCAAGAGCTTCTAGGAGATGTGTTTTCCCCCTGGGTATCTACTTCAGTTAGCTGGGGCTGGCCTCACCTCCCCGTGCCCCGGGGCACCAAATTTTTTATCCTTGTGTCTTGCTCCTCACCTCTCCGCTCAACAAGTTTCCTAGTTTTTCTTCAAGAATCCGTGCTTTTATTCCCTCTTGCCAGTAACATGGATAAAAAGATCCGCAAAAACATCACGCTTGCAGAGCCAGCTCTGCAGGCTCCAGTGGGTGCTTTAGCCTCTGGTTTTATCCCCCCGTCGGAGAGGCCTCCCCATCCCTGCTCCTTCCTTCGGGCTCCGGCCCGGTGCTGGCGGAGCCGCTTTTGGGCTTACGTGGCACTTTGTGTTTCTCTTGCAGAATGAAGTCACCGGGGAATCGTTAATTTGAGGATAGCAGAAGGCATTGTATTATATTTTGCCAAATTAAAGCCTTATTTATGTTTTCACCCTTTCTACTTCGTCAGAAACACTGAACAGAGTTTTGTCTTTTCTAATCCTTGTTAGACTACTGATTTAAAGAAAAAAAAACAGCTCTGTAGACACCTCCAGAGTTTAGTTTTATAATAAAAAGGAAAAAAAAAACTGTTTGGATAATTAGACCTTTACATTCCTGGAGAGACAGTAAACATGTAATCTTTTATTTTGCTCAATAAAACTTGTTCAGAAAACGCCAATGTGGCAAAGTCACCGACGGAATATAACATTTTAATACTGATGTTGTACACTGTTTTACTTAAAATACATTTTGGGATTAGCTGCCTCTGACTTCAACCTCAAGTAAACACTCCTTTTTTTTTTTTTTTTTTTTCGGTTGCTAATGTAATCAGTTTTTGTAATGGTGTCAGCAAATAAAGGGATGCTATTATTCAAGGTGTTTCTGTGCCCTTCTTTCAGCCGAAGTTTGCTGAGGGCTCCTCGGGTGAGATCTCACCTTTCCCCTCCCCAAAACGAGTGCCAGGCTCTGCTCGGTGTGTGGGGCTCCAGCAGAGAGGGGCACGAGCTTGAAAAGAGGCAAACTGGGGTGCTTCAAAGCAGGGCTTGCTCTGAAGTTTGCAGAGAAAGGTGAAGCTTGCCAAGAAAGGTTTATAAAGAAAACGCAGCAGCAAAGCTTCGTGCACGCGCTCTGCGGTTCCGCATCATGTGTGTTTTTTTTTATTTTTGGCAAACTCAGTGTAAAGCAGTTTGCAGTGCTCCAAGTTTTTCAGTTTTGTGGAAGTGTCTGATTGAAGCTGCCCGGCCGTTGTCAGCGCACAGGAGATCTCTGCTTGCCCAGGACCTGCCTCCTGGGTGTCTGTGGTGGAAGGTGCGTAGGTGGGGATGGATTTTGGATGCTCTGCTCGTACCGACTGCTTTGCTGGGACCCAACCCCAGCAAGGTGTCTGTGATGGGACAAGGTGGGGAGATGTGCTGGCCTTCCCCTCTTGGGGTTTTGCGTGTGCATGCTGAAGATGTTCTCCAGGGCTGCGTGAGCATCTTCAGCAACGTGAAATGTTCTTGCTGAGCTGTCGATAGCGCTCGAGGATGTGATTATCTGAGAGAAGGCAACAAAGCAGCTGGGGGCCACAGTTAATTAATTGCAGAGGTTAAAAGTGGTTCAGACTGCTCAGCCTGAGCTGTACATACTCTTGCCTTTGGGTTTTTTTCTTTCTTTTGTTAACTTTTTGTCTTTTCAGCACCCTTAACAAGGCAGCAGTCCGAGAAGGTTCTTCCTTGCATGGAGTCAGTAATATCCTGGATGATGCCCGTGGAGGGCAGAAAGCTACATGCTACATCCCTTAGGGTCAGTGCTGCTCTTCAGCTCCTCCTGGAGCTCTGGTTCTCCTTTCCCCATGTGGTGAAGGGCAATGGACAGCAGGGAAATGTCACGGGGAGCTGCTTCTCATCCTCCTTTGTCTCGCCAGATCCCACTTTTCCCATTATACTTGGTAACTGGTCTAGGGGTGCTCAGGGCTTTCCTGTGTGGCATCTCACCACGTGTGTTGCTGGTCAAAAAACATGTGGATGGGCACTGGCAAGTTTCCTCAATCCTTCCTTCCCTGCCCTTAGGTTGGAACAGTGGCTTTGCAGGAGCCTTTCTGGATGTGGTGAACACGGTGGTGATGGAGAAACGGGGCCGTTGCGCAGGTACCGAGTGGAGCTGGGCTCATTCACCTGCGTTTGGAGCCACCGTCCTCCTCCCAGACGTGCTGCTGCCTCCCTCCAGCAGTGGGGTAGAGTTTGGGTTATTTCTAGGCTAGCTTTTTCGTGGGCAAATCCACAAGACGACCGAGGTCTCCAGTTAAGGCGATGCCCCTTTTCCCTCAAAAGGGTGGTTTGGAAAGGGCGGCCTGCCCTTGCAGAGCCCTTGCAGGGGCAGTGTTTGGAGAAGCAAAGAGCTCGTGTGGGTGAGCCTGGAGATCTGCAGGTCTCTCCAGGCTCTGGAGGTTTTCTGCAGGGCAGAGCTGCAGAGCGGCGGGGACGCTCCTGCTGCAGTACCCAGCGTAAGAGCTGGAGAACTGCAGAGTCATTCACTCTTCTTGGCACAGGTCCTCGCGGGAGAGGACACGAGACCTTTCTTGTGAACCCTCCCTGCAGTGGGGGGTGGTTCTTGTTTGTTTGTCTGAGCTGTAAACATTTGGCTGCCTTCCCAGAGGTGTTAAGGGCAGCTGGAAGAAGATCCTCCAAAAGCCCAGCTGAGCAAACTGGAATCCCTGCTCTGAGTCGGGGAGAGGTTCACACAGTTTCCCAGGACCCGTGGGGAGGTTGATGGGTCACGTACGGTCTCCCTGTTCTCTCCAGCCTTGCACTAAAATGCACCTGACGGCCAAAGTTGAGAGAGAATCACCAGCTTTAGCGGGGTGACTTCATCAGTAGGAAACCGGTGACGCTCTGGGCATCTTCTAAGGTAAAATGCAATGACCAAAAAGAAGAAAAATCCCCAACCCCGTGGAGCATCGTGAAGGTCACACAGGTATGTGCCATGCTGGCTCAGCCCCTTCTCCGCAGGGAGAACTTGAGCCCGTTTGTCGCCATCCGAGGCCGGGAGCTGGCGCCCGCGGAGCAGCGTCCTGCAAAGGTCCCCGCGCCGCGTTGAGGCGCTGCCCGCGCTAGAGGGAGACAATAACTAATGGATACACAGCAGCTTTTGTTGGAAAAACCCCACCGAGGTGGCTGTTTGGCCACGCTGGAGCCACCGGGCTGCTCTGCCCAGCGAGGGGTTGAGCTTAGTTCACCTACAAGCGACCTCCCTTTCTGCTGCTCTTAATCAGCCTTGTTAAAAATGGAGATGAGAAGGGAAGCGTTTGAGCTGCTGCTTTACTCCCGCCCCTTCCAGAAGTGCTGCTGCCTCCTCCCCAACTGTGACTTCCAGGTCCCCCATCCTCCCTTTTTCCAGTTTGATCCAGACAGTAGCAGTGAGCTTTGCAGAAGCTGCACGTATTCTGGTGGCTACATTTCCTTTTTCTGAGCCAACGACCCCCTCTTTTTTTTTTTTTTTTTCCCTAATGATACCAGCAGCAATAACTAGTTACCTCTTTCAATTTTATTTCAGCCCTCAATCATTCAGTTTTGCAACAGAACCATGGGTTGGTGACACTAGTGTTCCCTGCGTGGCTTCTGCTGTCCTGAGCACCGCGGTGGCTGCCACAGCTCCAAGGTGTCCCTGTGTCCTCCTCGCTTGGTGACCTTCTTGGCTGCCTTTTGCAGCCAGCTCTGACTTTCCACGTGTTATTTGCTGCAGCAGCACTAGGTTCTTTTGCTCTGGCCTCCTGCTTGGCTGCTCTGGGGACCCGTGGGTTTTTGTGCTCACGGTGCCGTTGGGTTGGGGTTTGGGGGAGTTTCTGTGGGCTCGGGCTGCCCGGGTCCTGGCCCAAGCCCCAGCTGAAGGACTTGCCCTTGTGCTTTATACTGGGGTGAGGCTCCTTGCTTAAGTCACGCAAAAGCAATTGCAAATGAAAAATAACCCTGCAAGAAAACCCCAGAAGCTGCCCCAAACCCTTCAAGCTTTCATTTGCAGGAGAAAAAAAATATATGTGTATATACTTCTTTCCTTCTTGAGTAATGTTCTTCCTAAGAAAGAAACTAAACCCCTTTTAAGGAGGGTCTTCCCTACTAAAAATCCCCCGTGACACTTTATAACAGCTCCAAACACTTTTGTCCAACAACCCCCCCTCTTTTTTCCTCATTTCCTCATGAGGGTTTTTCCTCATTTCTCTGCTTCCATCTCCGTCACTTGCTGACATGGCACATGTCTCTGCTAGCAGCCATTGTGGGGCCACTGCTTTTACTGTGGTCCTGAAGGTTGACAAGGGACCGTCCCCATCACCGGAGCCACCAGGATGGGGCCCTGACTGCCCTCCCTGGCCCCGTTCCCACAGGATGTATCTAGGGAAAACCCCTTGGCTCGGAGCAGGGAGGCAGTGCAAGGACAGGAGCTGCCCGCTCTCCTGCTGTGCATTAGAGCCGCCCAGGGCTGTCCTGGGGTTGCTGCTCTCCTGCTCGAGCAGCTCGGCTCGTCCTCATCCCGTCCTCCATCCAGAATCCCCGGAGCCCTTTGCATGGGGACGGTGCAAAGGCAGCGGGAGGCAAGTCTTGTCCCCCGCTTCCTGCTCCTGGATTCCTGTGGCTCGGGGCAAGTTCACTGTAAATCTTGTAAATTTGGGGGGCAGTCTCCATTTCCAGAGCTGCGTGACTGGGGTCTTTGGCTGCTTGCTGAAGTAGCAGCCGAAAAACCACGAGTCCTACAGGCCTGAAAGCAGAGCAGGGTCCCCTTCTTCTGCCTTTTAGGCACATCTTGTCTTGACTGCAGCTCTGATCTGATTTAATATATGTGTGTGTGGGTGTGTGTATATGTAATTTAACTGCTAAGGCTAGCAGCATTAAGCTCCTAACTTGAGGTTAAGGTTCACCCAAGGATGGGCAAACCTTTGCCAAGGATCCCATTTCTTGGCTGTCCCGTTGCAGCTATTCAGGCCAGGGCTGTTCCTCCTTCCCAGAGCTGCTTTTCCTGGCAGTGCCTCAACAAAAGCCGGCTCCAGAGGGGGCATCTCACTAATAAGCGGCAGGTGCCCGACAAGAGGGATATATTGATGTATATTTAATAACCCCCTCTTGCAGGGGGGCGCTTATTGACCCTGTGCTCATCCGTTCCCTCTCTCCATCCGCGGAGCACGGCTCATCCCCAGCTCTCCTGCCCTAGGGAAGGTTGCTCCCATGTTCTTCCTTGGATTTGTTTATTTTAGTTCTCCTTCCCGTTCCTCGAGCAGAGCTGGGGCTAAAAGGCGGCTCGTGGCGCGGGGGAGGCTGCTCACGCGGCCTCGGTTGTCCCTGTACTGGGACCTCGGTCACGGGCAGCGCTGATTTCCCCCCATCCCTGCCCTTCCCGGCCCTTCCTGCCCCACGGGAGACGCCGACGAGGGGGGAAGAGCGAAGGAGCCCGTTGGCTTTGCCCGCATGGATGGAGGGATGGGACATGTGTCCCCCGGGGCTTTCCAGCCCAGGCCGTGATGTCCCCGGGGGCTCCGCGTGTCCCCAGGGCCAGCAGCTGCCGCTGGATGAGACGCCCCTTGTTGTGCCTGAGACGGGGGCTTTGTGCAGCCCCGGCCCCCTCACAAGGAGCCTTTCTCTGCCCTCCGCGTTTTAGTCTCTTCCAAGGGGGAAATCCTGGGGCTTTTCGGCTGCTCCGGCCTTGGGACCGAGGGGAAAAAAGGCAGATTTGCGGAAAACTCTCCACTTTTTGTGTGTACGCTCCAGGGCTGCAAAACAAAGAAGGGGAGAATAGGAGGCTGTAAAGTGCTTTAAAGGCTATAAAACATTAATGACGGTGGAGATATTATTCCTTCAGCACAGTGTCTCTGAGCTTCGAGGGGTGGATCAGGACTCAAACGGTCACT